CTGGCCGCTGAGCTGGGTCTCCCTCTTTCCTGTAGACTTCCATTTTCTCTCTTTCTCTCCTCCACTTCAAGTCCCAGCTCCTCCGGCAGGTTCAGCTCCAGCCGGTTATTTGGGGAAATCCTTTCCCCCGTGCTCCCCTTTCTCGGAAGTGCTGCAGAGGGGAGCAAGAGCACCAGGCACAGCAAAAGCACCCTAAGAGCAGCCCTCATCTTCCCACTTCAGCTACTCCCAACGCAGTCGTCCGAGCCGCTCACGCGCATCTCAAGACACTTGGGCGGAAGGGGAGGACGGCGTCTGCCTTTTAAAAACGGGTGGCCTTGAGTTGACAATGCACAACACACCTCCCTTGAGGAACTCAGAGGCTGTCGTGCTAGAGAGGAGGGAGGAATGTTTCAAAGAAACTTTTTTGTTCTATTTTTGGGTTTGCATCTAGTATTGGAAACGTAAAAAAAAAAAAAAAATTAAAGCTGTTTCTCCTACTCGTAGGGACGCCTGTCCTTGACTTCAGATGTTTTCTAAAGGAGGGTGGACATGTAGGATTGGATCTTCATGGGGACTGGCACATACTATTCCCATCAGCGGTGAAACACCAGGAGGGAAGAATCGGCCAGACCAGGAGGAGAGGGCAGATAATGGGCAGAAACTAAGTAAATGTATGGGAAGTGTTCTGCTCTCGTGGCTGGAGAGCCACCCCCCTCGGCTGGTACCTCTGCCTGGAGAGGCCGCCCTGCAGGGGCCCGTAACTCATCTCCTGAGCCCTGGGCTGCTTCGGCCTGCGAAGGAGAAGCTCACAGGGTGCAGCAGCAGCCTGATGACTTCAAACGCTTAAGAGTTTGCTTAGGAAGGCTCACAACACCCATATTACAAGGACTTTTCCCTCTGTGAGGCGCCAATACTCACTGCAACATGTGGAATTACCAACACCACCTACCTACACCTAAACCACCCCAGAGAAACCTCCCCCCCCCTCCAAAGTACCTTCTCTTTTTGGAAACAGAGGGCAAGGGGAAAGGTACCTGCAAAAAAAGTTCCAAGGCGCGTTCAGACCCTTCGCTGGGTCTCCGGGACTTTGCAGTTTGGAGCTCAGGACCTGGCTGCAGCTCGTCATAAATGGGCTGCGCACCCGAACCCGAGAGGGACGAAGGGCACCGCGCCAAAGGGCTGGTGAGGGCAGACCTCGCTCCTACAGGAGCTGTGACAAGGACACACGCCTGGCAAAGGGCAGACCCACACGAGCCCATTCAGGAATCGGGGCAGCTCAGCTCGAGCCACGGTGCTGCTCGCATGGTAAAGCCAGCGAGGGCTGGACGCACTCTGCCCGGCTCTGGCGCTTGCACGGCTCAGGGTGGGACGCGTCGGGCCAGCAGAAGAGGTGAAGACTTTGCTTCCTCCACCAAAGGGGCACGCAGCTGCAGGGCTGCGGCCAGCACAGCCTCCCCCGCGGCCCACGAAAGTAGCCAGGCACTGGCCAAGAGCAAGCCCGGGGCGGGCAGCCCGGCCTCCAGCGATGCCTTTACCCACCAAGCACCCTGGTATCCGGCGCCGAGACGTCCCGGTTCAACGAAATGAATCCTGGAAAGGACAGAGAGGAGAAATCTCAGCACTTCCTCTGCTTTTTAATGGGAACCAAATGGTTGTTTGAAGGAAAACATTTAGTATAAATAAAACCACAGAGAACTAAAAGCTTGCCAAACCGAGTCTACGTCCCATAAAAACCACACGTGACAGCAGGTGCTTCGTAACAGTACAGACCACACTTCAGGAACTATAATAATAAACTAAGATTTAATATGGCAATTTCTTTTGACTAAACATTCCCAGAGATCCCTGCCACCGCCACAGATGCGAGCACCAGCGCTTTGTCTGTGAACCCGTGTTTAGCCAGCAGTGGGCAGGAGCCAGGCAGCCGTGTGCAGGGGGAAGGATGGTTGCCTTCCTGCAACTGTCCATGAAATCTCGTCTGGCGCTTTCCAAGGATGCCTGAGAAGCAGCCGGAACCGATTTCCTCAGTAAAGACGCTTCCCCCATGCAGCTGGCAGCACCTGAGCTACTGTACAGTGCTCTGGCACCGGGAGGAGAAAGGTTTCCGAACACAGCGGGAGCGATGCTCTTCTG